CTCTCATCCTCATCCTTTTCCTCTTCCTCCTCCGCCTCCTCCTTTTCCGTTGCGCGTCGGGCCTCGGCCCAGCTGAACCCAGCACCTGCGATCGTCCCGATGAGCTCGTGGACGTCGAAGGGCTCGACGCCCGCTCCGTAGCGGTTCCCAGTGTCGACGCCCACGTGCTGGGGCTTCGACTGCTCCTTGAACGCCAGGTCGGCGGCCACGAGCTTCGCCAAGATGGCGTCTAGCAGGGCCCGCTTGTTCTGGTGCGCCGAGTCGCCCTCCAGGGCGGCGGCGCACGTGGTGTTGATCCACGCGAAGAGCTCCTTGTGGCCAGCGGCCTCCGCCATCGGAGCTGACCCGCAGCTGGCAGCCCGAAGGGGCAGCCACAATATGAAGCTGAAACAGCTATGGAGCTTCGGCAAAATGACGCGGTGTCTTGCCCCAAACCCACGTGGTTCCGACAGGAACCACAAGATTTTAACCGAAAACGAGTAAGAGACTATCGCAAGAATCGAGCCAGGGGCCCAGGCTGGGCTGCTCAGTAAGTACATAGAGGGGACTTCGCTAACCAGGTTAGCAGAACTTAGAGAAGCAAGTTACCAACCACGTTGTGACCACATGCGAAGCACATGCTACACGCTACTATCCTGACCGCGTAACGTGCCTAACCTACATCCGCGGTTGGGCTAACCTGGTGATTAAACGGGATCTGTAGATTGAGGGGGTTCAGTAACCCGACGATGTAGATATCCCACAGACGGATGCAAATACCCAACATACACATGAGATGTGCTGCTTCCATTCAGTGTACATCGTGAATGTAACAAAGATACTAATGATTTGCATGTACATGTAACCCAACGACCTACATGCTAAAGACGGCGGGGCTCCAAGCAGAGGAGCCCAGAGCGGCCTCCAGCACCGTTTCCGGACAGATCCGGTGGATCCGGTGGATCCGCCGACGAATCCCAAACCGGCGCCCTCGCTTGAGACATCCTCACAAAACCGGCCCCGGGGGAGGTGCCAGAGGAGCCCAGAGCGGCCTCCGGCACCGTTTCCGGACAGATCCGGTGGATCCGGTGGATCCGCCGACGAATCCCAAACCGGCGCCGTCGCTTGAGACATCCTCACAAAACCGGCCCCGGGGGAGGTGCCCAGAGGAGCCCAGAGCGGCCTCCGGCACCGTTTCCGGACAGATCCGGTGGATCCGCTGGATCCGCTGGATCCGGTGACGAATCCCAAACCGGCGCCCTCGCTTGAGACATCCTCACAGAACCGGCCCCGGGGGAGGTGCCCAGAGGAGCCCAGAGCGGCCTCCGGCACCGTTTCCGGACAGATCCGGTGGATCCGGTGGATGGGCGCGGACGCGATTACCATAACCTGGGTCGCCCTCGCTTGAGAGCATCCCTCACAAATGAGCCGGGGACCCCGGGGGAGGGGTAGGGCCAGAGGAGGAGCCCAGAGCGGCCTCCGGCATCGTTTCCGGACAGATCCGGTGGATCCGGTGGATCCGCCGACGAATCCCAAACCGGCGCCCTCGCTTGAGACATCCTCACAAAACCGGGCCCGGGGGAGGTGCCCAGAGGAGCCCAGAGCGGCCTCCGGCACCGTTTCCGGACAGATCCGGTGGATCCGCTGACGAAGCCCAAACCGGCGCCCTCGCTTGAGACATCCTCACAAAACCGGCCCCGGGGGAGGTGCCCAGAGGAGCCCAGAGCGGCATCCGGCACCGTTTCCGGACAGATCCGGACAGACCCGGTGGATCCGCGCCCCGGGGGAGGTGCCCAGAGGAGGAATGAGGAGGAGGAGGAGGAGGAGGAGGAGGAGGAGGAGGAGGAGGAGGAGGAGGAGGAGATGATGGAGCTGCGGGGTGGAGGAGGACAGACGGAGGCAAGAGAAGGATGGAGGAGGAGGAGGAGGAGGAGGAGGAGGAGGAGGAGGAGGAGGAGGAGGAGGAGGAGGAGGGGAGGAGGAGGGAGGAGGAGGAGGAGGAGGAGGAGGAGGAGGAGAGGCGGAGGGAGGAAGGAGGAACCTCATCCTCACCCTCGCCAACAGGCGCACGCACCTTCTTCTATATACAGAAACTCCCGATCAACCGCAGAGCGGCCGGCTAGTAATAATAAGAATAATAATAATACTAATAATAAGAAGAATAGTAATAATAAGAATAATAATAAGAAGACTAATAGTAATAAAAATAATAAGAAGAAACAGAAGAAGCAGCAGCAGCAGCAGCACGCACAACACCGACCACTGCACGGGGAATGGACGCCCGAGCGATGGCAAGTCGGGGTGGGGTGCAAAACTCGGGCCCCCGATGTCGGGCGTGCCAGCGTGTGCGCGCCGCCGATGGCCCCCCCCTGCTCAGTATCGTTCAACCGACCCCTGTCCCCATCCCCACCCCCAGGCAAACCCCCACCAACTCAGCACCCCGGCCAGGGATATACCCCTCGAGACCCGAAAGAAACAGCCCATCTCCCCGTCTGGGGGGGTAAATCGGCCAGTGGGGCCCAGGCCACGCCCATGGGGGTAGACGATGCGCACCGGCTGCCCTCGCTCGCCCCCCGCCTCCTGCTCCCCCCCCCCCTCTCGCCGCGCCCGGGCCGAGCCGAGGGCCTCCGCGCGGCCCCGGCGCCGAGGCCCCGAGGCCGCGGAGGAGGAGGGGGACGAGGTGGACGATCTTGCGGAGAAGGAGACCCGCGCCAGCTCCCCCTGGGACCAGCCATGCGCAGAGGGGGGCAGGGGGAGGGGGGAAGGCTTCCCAGGAGCACCCCTGCTTCTCAGATGAGGCGACCCTTGTCTGTAGACGTAGGGCCGGCGTCATTCTAAGCAGCGGCCTGCTTCTAAGAAGCTTCCCCCCTCCCCCTGCTCCATTGTGCGCGCCGCCAACAGGAGCCGCTGGGGCGCTGTCCACAAGCCTTGGCGTCGCTGCCTCGCTTCCTGGGAGCCGGGCGCAAGCCGAGGGGCGCGTTGACAGAGAGCTGCCTGGGAGCTGTGCGCAAGCTCAGGGAGCGCTGCGCAAGAGCTGCGCAATCGCTTGCGGCCAACGTAATGGGAACACTTCGGAAAGCGCTTGCGGGACAAGCTGCAAGTTCCAGCAAGCTGCTGCGACGCCGCCTGACTGGCAGCCTTGGAGAGAGAACGCTGGCCGCGCCGCCCCCAGGGCCTCCAGCGTGCCGAAAGACTCGGTGCGGAAGCTTTTTCGCCGCCTTCGGCCTCTGGGGGGCCCTCGCTGGGCCCCCGGTGCCGACAGAAAGACTGCTCGGGACGAGAAGCCGGCGCCGGGGAAGAGGGGTCCAGTCCTCCGGGGCAACGGCGTGTTATTTGCGAGCAGAAGTCAGCGGCTACGGATCAGAAGTACAATCATCGGGCTGGGAGGATGGGGGTGGGAGACGTGACCAAACCACCCATCTTGTCGCGTATGCTGAAGGTGCTGCTTGCGCGGCCGCGCCCTGCAGCTTCCCACCCCCTCCCTCCCAGCACGGCGCCCGTCCCTCTAGAACGGAGGTGCCGGCCCGCGGCGTCCCCCGCAGGAGCGGGGCCGGCATCGCCGGGTCACCCCCGCGGGGCGCGACGGCGACGGCGCCTCGCGCGCCGCGGCCAGGGCCGCAAGCGGGCGCCCTCCTCCAGGGCGGCGGCGCCCGGGCCTGCGACGGCGGCCAGCGCGGCGCGCGGCGCGGGGCGCGCGGCCCGCGGGGCCAGGCGGCCTCTCGAGGCGCGGCTGCAGGCGCAGCTTGGGCGGGGCCGCAGGACGAGGAGAGAGCCGTTCCCGGGCGCTCCGGAACGTTCTCGGAGCGCTCCGGGGCACGCTCCGAGGGGGCCGCGGCGCCCGAGGCATCCTCCCAGAGCCGCTGGCCCCGAGAGAGATTCTCGGGTCGTCCTCACCCGAACTTGTCCTCGTCTTGGCTTCGTCTGAGCATCGCCATCGTTTATCCGATCCCCATCCCAAGCGGCGAGGCCTGGGCCCCACTGGCCGATATACCCCCCTAGATGGGGATGTAGGCCGTTCCCTTCGGGTTTCGGAGGGCGTATCCCCAACTGGGGGGGCAATTTGGTTGGGGCCTCGAGGGGGATGAGGATGGGGATGGGGATCGGTTAAACGATACTGATCGTCTTGGGTTGCGAGCGAGGGGGCCCGTGGAAGGAGGGGGGGAGAGAGCGCGTCCAGGCCGGGGGGGCCAAGAAGGGGGGCACGCAGGCCGGCGGGGAGGGCCGCAGAGGAGCTCTGGCCGAGGCGGCCGGCGCCCGAGCGGATAGGATCCCGCCGCGAGCCTTCCTCCCGCGAGGCGGCGGGGAGAGTCCACTGGAGGGTTTCTCCGAAGGGCTTTGGCGACCCGTCCTCCTCCTCCTCCTCCTCCTCCTCCTCCTCCTCCTCCATCTCCCCGTCCCCCTCCTCCTCCTCCACCTCGTAGCCTCCCGCCTCATCCCCCTCCTCCCGCCCCTCCTAACTCGCCGCCTCCTCCACCTGCCTCCGCCTCCTCCAACTCATCTTGCCTCTACCTCCTCATCCATCCCCGGTCACACCTCCTCCTCCACTCCACCTCCTCCCTCCTTCCTCCTCCTCCTCCTCCTCCTCCTCCTCATCATCATCATCATCCCCCTCCTCCTCCTCCTCCTCCTCCTCCTCCTCCTTCTCCTTCTCCTCCTCCTCCTCCTCCTCCTCGGGTCGCCTACGGACCCGGGGGAGACCGTGCAGAGTCCACCACCAGTCCACTGCAGATCTTGGCGGAGGGCCGTGCCCGCCGAGGTTGGGGCCCACGGCAGGTTTCTGGGGGCTTGGTGTCGTCGTTCGTTCGTTCGTTCGTCGCCGTTCGTCGTTCGTTCGTTCGTCGCCGTTCGTCGTTCGTTCGTTCGTTCGTTCGCCTCGGCTTGGTGGCGGGTCCATTTTCCTCGCCTTCTCTGTCTCGTTCGTCCTTCGTCGTTTGTCCTTGACAGCTCGTTCGTCGTTCGTTCTCTGCCTCGCGCCCTCCGCCCCCCTTCGGGGTCACCGCCGCAGCCGCCGCGGCGGACAGGACGCGCTCATCAGCTGGTGGTGCAAGAACAAGCTGTCCTCCTATCTGCAGCAGCTCCGCCGGCTGCCGGACTCCGGGCCCTTCCAGGTGCCCGCGGGCCCGCGCAGCCCCGCCGTTTCTGCCCCCTCGTCCTCCAGGTTCGTATCGTGTCGACGCGGCGGCGACCCCGCCGCGGGCGTGCAAGGTTGAACGCCGGCAGTAGCCTCTGAATCGGCAGTGGTTCAGAATTGGCCAAGTTGGAACAATATGGCGATCGGGAAACCGCCGATTGCTCCAGGTTGAACGATCCACGCGGTGACAGAAACCAACGCTGGGGTCGTCACGACACGACCCTGCCGTACCTATCCTAATTGGGTCAAGCCGAGGCTGAGCGGAAACTCGTCGATGGCCACCCATCTCAGTCGAGCTGTAATGCTTCGCTTGATTCGGTCTTTCGTTTGCCGATGGCTTTGCTGGTGAGTCACGCGAGTTCGGCGACTGTCGCTGGAGGCATTTCTGGACGCAATGGTGTCCGTGACAGATCCGTTCCAGTCAAGCTCTCGCGATTTGAGGTTCTTGCGCGTGATGATGCCTTACCATCTGATCGTTTGCCGCTCCAGATGCAGCGTCATGCTTCCAGTCTGATGCAACGCAAGGGGTTATGCATGCACTGATTTCTACCAGGCGATGCTGCGCAGCGCTCTGAAACGCATGCGGATGACGACTGGCAACCCTGAGAACCCCTTCCGCCCTCTTCCGCCCACCTCCGAGCGCCACAGGCGCTCGAACATTGCAGCAATTCCCCGCGCGCCGCTGCACAGGGGAGCGATGGATACAGCATCCGTAGCCATTTTGGCTCAAGGTTTTGCGTTTCCCTGCGAAACAAGTGGATACTGCTAGTCCGCGGCAGTGCCAGGGTGCTTGCACCCGACGTTTCCTCCCCGACTGGTTCACTCCAGTTCTGATTCCATTTTGGCTTGGAGTTCGCCCTCCAAGCTCACGACCACGGCTCCTCCCCAGCGATGTCCTGGGGCCAGCAGGGGTACTTCGGCAAGGGCAAGGGTTTCCCAGGTCTCCTTGGGCGCAGGTTCTGGCTGGCCCCCTTTGGTTCCTGGCCCTCAGTACGGTGCTGGTGCTGGTGCCGGCGCAGGTGGAAGTGCGGTGTTTGCGGGTGCGTCAAGAATGCTGCGAGGTTCTTCTACTGCAAGCATTGTGGGTCGTACAAGCCTTCTGCAGGTCAGCCGTCGGCCTGGCAGGGGGACGCGGCCCAGCAGCTCTTTGGGCTCAACAAGAGCCTCCCTGGCAGCTCCGCGTGGGACGCCAAAGTTCCCCCAGGGAGAGCTGGAGGAGGGCCCTCCCTCGGCAAAGGCTGCGGCGGTCAAGCCAAGGGAGGGGCCCAGCAGCCCTAGGCCATGGGAGCTGGTGCTGCGACTTCGGGCCTCTCGGCGGAGGAGTTCGAGACCATGGCAGCGCTGCACGACAAGCTTGGCGAAGGGAAACAGGCTGAGTCATGTCGTCGGGCCGCCAAGGCTCTCACGGCGCCGAAGGAAGCTCCCGAGTCAGCCCAGGTCCGTCTCAACAAGGCCCACTGGAAGATGCGGGGCGTCAACAAGAAGCTCGAGTCAGCGCTGGAAACGCACAAGGCATTGGAACGCCAACTCGCCGAGCGGAAGACGGTGGTCCTGGAGCTTCGCAGTGAGCTCTTCACGGCAGAGGCCGAGCACAACAGTCTGGTGCAGTGCCTGGTCGAGTCTCAGGAGTTGCCGAAAGACAAGCAGCCCTCGTCTCTGTGCAAGCTGTCGTTGGAGGACACCATGGATCAGAATCGTTTCGCGCACGTCTTCGACATCAGTGCTTGTGATTTGCTCAAATGTGACGGCCATGACCTCGACGAAGAGATTGAGATCGAGTCGCCCGCGCGCAGCAGCTCAAGCAGGGCCTCTCGTCCATGGCAGGTTCGTTGTTTGCGGATGCCAAGCAGAAGATGGACGAGCTCAGACAGACGCACGCGGCGCACCTCAAGGGGTTGGCAGCCAAGCGGAGACGCACCAACGAGGACGAGGAGGCAGAGCTGCAGGGCGGTGGAGGCGCTCCGCCAGCCGCCCCGCACCCTGGGGCTGGAGCTGCTGCGGCTGAGCGCCCGGCCCCTGCGTCTCCAGCGCGCGCAGGACCTCCTGCGCCAGCTTCTCAAGGGCCGGCCGCGGGGGCCAGGGTCGACGGGCAGGGCGCCCCGCCGCAGCCTGGTGCCGCCGCGGCGGCGACGACGGGCGCCGAGCCAGCGGCGGGGGCCCCGCCTCGGCCCCGACAGCTGGCTCCGCCCGTGAGCGCGCTGATCGCATCGCAGGCGTGGCCCTTCAGTCCGATGTGTTCCCCCCCTGGAGGCACGCCATAGAGACGTCTGCTCGTCGGTCGACTCGTCGGTCGCTTGGGGCCCGGTCCGTCGCCCGCTTCGCAACCAAGGCGTGGGCTACACTGCTGGTCGAGCGCTCAGGGCCCAAGGCCGTTCGGTTAAGTCCAGAATTCGGATTGCGAGAGCTTCTCGTGCTGCCAATCGCCTCAAGAGGCAAAACAAGGTGTCTCGGCCCCCGGGTTTTGCTGGTTTTCTCGGCGGGCCCGCAAGCGGGGGCCTCGTGCGGTTCTGAAACCACGGGCACTAGCGATCTGGGGCTGTTGCGCCTGCGCAGGCAAGTTTGTTTCAGTTGTCAGGCCTCGCTCTCAGCTGCGTTCTCTGGGCACTGCCGCGTTGCTTGATTGGAGAGAGCGTGATCCACCGCCGCTTTACTTTGGAAAATTGCCAACCTTTTCCTCCGGAACCCGGGGGTCCCCCCCCCCCTCCCTCCGAAAATCCCTCCCCCTCCTGGACCCCACCCCGCCTCTTTCCGGCCCCCCCCCACCCCCCCGCCTTAACCCCCCACCCCGTTCCCTTTCGAAACCGGGGGAGGAGGGGGGTCGCTGGCGGTTCGAACCCCCCCCCCTCCGGGACCTGGAAAACCGGGGGGGGGGTCATTGCCGGTTGGGCCCCCCCCCCTCGAGAACCGGAGGGGGGTCGCTGCCGGTTCGACCCCCCCCCACACCCCATGCACCGCCGGCAAACGACTCCCGGTCCCTACCACCGCTCGCGTCACACCCCCCACTGTTGTTCCCAGCACCACTGTCCTCACCACCACTGTCCCCACTGGTTCCACTACCGTCCCTATTGTCGCCACCAGTGCCCCCGCCACTGTCGCGCTGTCCCCACTGTTCCCACCGCTGTTCCCACCGCGGTTCCACTCTCCCCACTGTCTCCGCGGACCCAACCACTGCCTATCCCCACTGTCCCCACTGTCCCACTGACTCCTCCGCTGTCCCACTGAAAATCCAACTGTTCCCACCACTGTCCCCGCTGTCCCCACCACTGTCCGCGCTGTGCCTCTGTCCCATTGTCCCGCCGCCGTCCTCGCCACCGCCTTTACCACTGTCCCCGCCACCATTGTACCCTCCACCGTCCCACTGTTTCCACCTCATTCCCACTGTCCCCACACCGCTGTCCCCGCCACCACCGTCCCCGCAACTGTCCACTGCCCCCCCTGTGCCCACCATTGTCCTCGCCACTGTCCCCACCACTGCCGTCCCCACCACTGTCCCACTGTCCCACTGTCCCCACCACTGTCCCGCTGTCCCCTCGCCACTGTCCCCACCAACACCGCCCCCGCCACTGTCCGCACCCCCACTCGGTTTTCGAGGGGGGGGGGGTTCGAACCGGCAGTGACCCCCCCCCCTTTTCATGATGAGCTGGGGGGGGGGGGTCGAACCGGCAGTGGCCCCCCCCGGTTCTCCGGGGGGGGGGGGGGGGTTTCGAACGGTAGTGACCCCCTCCCCGTTTTTTCGCCGCCCGCAGCTGTAGAACACGCTCTTTCCTTGATTTTGATCCGCGCCGGCGCGCCGCCGCCGCCCCCGTTGTGAGATGGTCGAAAGAGATCTGGCTCAGCCAGTCGGAAGCTTGCGATTGGGGCTTCCTCGTCCTGCCTTGCGTCGTGCGTGGGAAGCTGTTTTCTCCGACCCTGCCTGCTCTGGGGGTCGGTCGCGGGTCCTGCGTCTGCTCTCAGGATGTCCTTGGTTCGCCCCAGCTGGTGCATGGGTAACTCCATGTCGGTGCGAGATGGCCGCGGGTCTTCGATTCCGCTTGTTATCTGGCCGCCAGCCCTGATCAATATCCTGGTCGAAGACGGCTATTTCAGGATGCTGGAGCGGCTGTCGGGGGAGGAGAGGGGGGTCCTCCCCGGGCTGTGCTAGGATGTGCCGCGCGAGGCTCTCGCCTCCACGAAGTGCATTGCCCTTCAGCAAGCTCAGATCAGAGTATATGCCACGGCAGCTTTATCATACTTTGCTTAAAACAAGCACGGGGGACCGCGCCATCAGCTTAGGCTACCTGGTGGGCGGCATCTGCCACTTCTGCGGCGGCCTCGACCCGGTTTTCCAGAGGTTGCGGGAGTGCGCGCGCGTGCCTGTCGCTGAGTTTAGGTCGAGCCTGGTGGACAGTGGCGCGGTGGAGGGCGCCCTGGCCGCTAAGGGCAACGAAGAAGAATAGTTTGTTTATTTTCAGGGGCTTTCCGCCACCCCGCCGATCGTTGCCCGAAGCCCCTCACCGAGTCGGACGAAGGGCCATTTCTTGTGCGCCACCAGAGTGACCTCGTCTCTCCCTCGGGTCTTGTAGCTGGCTCCCAGGTCTGGGGTGGCGCCTTTACTGGCGGGTTTAGCAGCAGGCGCGTCATTCGTGAGCTTTCTCGTGCCGCCAGCAGTGCTGTTATGGTCGACAGATTGGGTGACTCTGTGGCTGAATTCAGGGCCCCCGCTTGGGCCCCGTATCCTCAGACGCCCCAGTCAACCGAGTTCAGCTGCTGGACGTGGGTAAATGTGCTAGCCTCGTCTAAGACTTTGGTGTATCCTGATTGCAATGTGGTTGCCAAGCTGGCCAGCAGGCCCAGAGAAGAGCAGCACTCGGGTAAAATGGCTTACTCAGGAGCGTTCTTGCAGCTCTACGCCCACGGCATTCGGCCTGCCACGTGCCTCAATGTAGCCGCTCACAGAGATATAGATGAGAGCGGGATCGGTGCTGTCGAGCGCTGGAGGCGCCTCGGCAACCACCGCGCAGACGCCGCGGCCAAGCATGTCGTGCGTCTGCGCCCGTCCTGTCAGGACCAGCTGGACGCCGCGGACCTGTTCGTTTCCTTTGCGCGCCAGACTACTCGTTTGGCGGCCCGCGTTCTGCACCCGTGGCCAGTGTTGGATCTCTCCGAGGTTGAGCGCGTGCCAGCCGTGCCCTCTGCCGCAGGGGCGCCAGCAGGACACCGCTGGGAATCCTGGTCGGGCGTGTGGCGCTGTGCGGTATGCCTTCGAGGGAGGCGAAGCCCTCTCCTGGGGCCTGCCCTCTCGACACCCCGCTGCACGCTTCGCGCCGGGGCGCCCTCGAGCACCGCGCGATCGCGTTCGATTGCTCAGATGGCGCCGTTTTTTTTTTGTTTTTTTTTTTTTTTTGTGCACGCGGTGCAAGTCGTACTCCAGCAGTGCGTGTGCGTGAGGCCTCGGGGTCAAGTGCAAACCGCCGCCACCTCGAGCTGCGGGGCATCGCTGGAGCGCGCTGTGCAAAGGGCGCCACCCGCATTGCAGGCTTCGTGCTGCGGGTGCTACTGTTGACGCTGACAATCTGTCGCAGTGCTTCAACATTTACGCCCGATTTTCTTTCGGCCCCCCCGCTCCTCATCATAGCGGGGGGCGCCTGTTCCTCATGGGGGACTTTGGCGCGGGCGTGGAGCTCAACAAAAAAGATGGATATGGATACGGCATGGCGCGTGGGCGTAGGGCGCGGGTGGATGGAGGGGGGCCAGGCGGGGAAAAGGGCAGGAGCTCGCCCCATCTCTGGGTCTGCTCCCTTCTTCCCCTTTCGGTCCCCCTCCTCTTCCTGCGACTCACCCCCTCCCTCCCTCCATCCTCCTCCTCCGCCTTTTTCCTCCTCTTTCCTTCTCCTCCCCCTCCGCCTTCCCTCTCTCATTTCTTCTCTCCTCCTCGTCGTCCCTTTTTTCTCCTCCGCCTGTTCCTCGCTCCGGTTCCTTCCTCCTTTTCCTTCTTCGTTGTCGATCCTCTTGCTCTGTGCTCTCTTCCCCTCACTCCTCCTCGTCCTTGGCGCGGGGGGGCGGGAGAAGTAGGAGGGAGCATGAGGAGGAGGATAATACTGCTTCTGCTTATGAAGAGGAGGAGGGGGGGACGAGGAGGAGCAGGGCCAGCGCCGTTCAGCCCCAAACGCAACAACGATGCTGCACTACGCGCTCTCCCGTCCAAAGTCCCCCCCTCGCGGATCCCCGCAAGTTTTGCTTCTCAATCACGAAGCGCCCCCGTGCCCGGAATGATTATAGCTTTTTTTTTTATTTCTCTTCCTGTTTTTTTTCTTTTTCTTTTTTTTTATTTTTGCTTTTTTTATTGTTTGCTTGTTCTTCTTGATTTTTCGTGTTGTGCTTTTTCTTTGTTTTTTGTTTGTTCTTTTTTTGTTGTTTATTTTGTTTTTTTTTTTATTTTTTTTGTTTGTCTTTGCTTTTTTTCTTTTTTTTTTTGTTTTTTTTTTTGTGTTTTTTTTTTCTTTTTGTTTTTTCCCTTTTTTGCCACTTTTCCTCTCTCCCTTTTTCCTATTCTTTTTTTTTGCTCTGTTGTGCTTGTGCGAGTGAAGAGGGGGAGGGGGAAAGAGGAGGAGCAGGGCCAGAGCAATGCAGCCCCGACGCGCAACAGCGATTCTGCACTACGCGCTCTCCCGTCCCAAGTCCCCCCTCGCGGATCCCCCCAAGGTTCCCCTCCCAAGCAAGCAGCGTGCCCTCCCCTTCGACAGACCAGCACACCCCGTATAGGCCTGCGCCTTTCGGGCGAGGGGGGCCCCGCTGTGAACAGGAACTGCCCGCCGCCGTCGTCGTCGTCGTCGTCGTCGTCGTCGCCGTCGTCGTCGTCGTCGTCGTCGTTGTCGTCGTCGTCGGCGTCGTCGTCGTCGTGCTCGTCGTCGTCGTCGTCGGTAATCGTGGACACGAGAAGGTATGACCATACAGTTCAACGCTGTCCTTCGAATTTTCCGTTCTGACAAAAGGACCGCCCCACTTGCATACATATAGCACAAGCTTGCACCCATGGTCATGCACTTCGCAGAACCCTCAAGCAGGAACCCCATGTTGAAAAGGAGACGCCCGCCAGCCGCGCAGCGGTTACACCTATTCACGCTGCTGGCCTCTAAATTTACGGTGGCTCCAGGCGGAAGCCCCACTCTGAAATATGAGCCGTCCTCCATCTTCGTAGTTGCTGCAAGCTGTTAAGACGATTGTGTGTGGTGATACGGCGAGAGCCCCGTGTTGAAACAGAGAAGCCTTCCAGACTGGTAGCTGCTACATTTTTTTGTAAGACGGGTGCGCGCGTCGCGAATCCATGCGAGAGCCACATTCGAAAGCCACCCGCATCCGTGTAATGGTTGCAAGCTCAGTAGCTTCTTAGGTGACCGTGCGTGGCGCTACGGCGGGAGCTCCTTTTTGAAAACGAACCTCCCTTCATCGTGAGGGTGTTGGGAATATCAAGGTTCAGGGTTATGAGCGGAGGCGGGGGAGGGCACCTCCTGCCCCGCGTGGAACACCGCCAGGTGCCCCTGGATTGGCAAGCGCTCGGGCTAGAAGACTACCCCGACGTAGTCCAGGAGCCGATGGACCTGCAGACCATTTCGGAGAGGCTACAAGGCCGTCCGTCCTCCTCCTCCCTCCTCCCTCCCCCTCCTCCTCCTCCTCCTCCTCCTCCTCCTCCTCCTCCTCCTCCTTCCCCTTCCTAATCATCGTCATGCTCGCGGTCTTCCTCCTGCTCCTCCTGCTCCTCCTGCTCCTCCCCTTCCTCTCCCCTTCCTCCAGTTTCCTTCTGTTCCCGTTCCTGCTCCTGCTGCCGCTCCCGCTCCCGCTCCCGCGCCTCCCTGTTGTTCTCCTCCTTCTCCTCGTCCTTCTTGGTTTCGTCCTCCCCTCCCTCCAGACCTCTTCTGCCCCCCCCCCCCCCTTGTGGCACCTCTGCCAGAAGACCGCCATCCCCCCCTCCCTCCTGCGACCCCTGCAAGCTAAACCCCCCCTCCCTGCCACACCCCCGACTCCCTCTCTGATCCTGCTGCTGCTTCTCCTCCCGCGAGGCCCATCCTGGGCTCGGGGTCGGGCGCGCGGGCCGCAGGAACAGGAAGGGCGGGCGACGGGAGAGGAGGAGGCAGAGGGGGGCAGGTCGGGTGTGCGCGCCCAGTGGCCTGCCGAAGAAGAAGGGGGGCAGGGGAGGGGGTATGGCGGTCAGGGGAGGCGAGGGGGAAACGGGAGGGCCGAGGATGGACGCTCTTGGGCCTTGTCGGGCTTGCCTGGGCCTCTGGAGACCTCTGGGGAGTGGGGCAGGGTCGGGGGGAGGCGTTGGGGGAAATGGCGGGAGGGGGGCAGACGCGGAGGAGGAGGAGGAGCAGCAGGAGGAAGAACACCAGAGTAAACCTAGAATGCGTCATTGATGCTGCAGTACAGCCTTACGCCCTCCTAGAGTGAACCCAGGATGCATCGTTGATGCTGCAGTACACCCTCCGATCCCCGTTCCCTTCCTCATACGCGTCCCCCTTGGAAGGCGAGCACCGTGTGGGCCTGCAGTTCTGGTAACAGTTCCGCCTGGAAGAGCAGCGGCTGTGCATCGCTCTATGGCGAGTTGTACCAAGCGCGAGCGATGTGGCCAGCGAGAGCCCCGTTTTGAACAGGAGCCGCTCCCATTCCCTGTAATTGTTGCACAAAGTTTCGCGCCTGGCAGCTCAAGCGGCGGAAGGAATTAGCTAGACCCCCATGCTGAAAATGCACCGCCTTTCTTTCGTGCAGATGTTGAAGAAGTTCCGTTCTCGGGCCGCCAAGTTTGAAGGAGTATCAAGCGAGAGCCACGTTTTGGAATGGAGCCGTCCTCCATCCTTGTAGATGCTACAAGCTTTTAAGGTGTATGCCCGTGGCGCTGAGAGCCCAATGTTGAAGAGGAACCGCCACAATCATTGGAATTGGTGTAATGTTTCAAGACGGCTGACAGTGTGCGGCGCCAAGACTGGAACCCAATTTTGACCCCCCCTATCCACGTAGTAGATGCAAAGCAAAGGCTTCGAGACAAATGTGCGCGGCGGCAAGACCAGAACCCAACTGTGGAAACGACCCCCTCTCTAGCCACGTAGCTGCTGCAATATTTTGCGATGAGTGTGCGCGGCGCGGACGCGCGGGCCCCATTTTGAACACGGCACTCCCCCCCCCACCACTGTACGTCCTTCTTGCAGGCTCTGCAGACGAATGTGCGCGGCGCTCGTGCGCGAGCCCGGTTTTGAAACGCCCCCCCCCTCGATCCGTGCAGCTGTGGCACTTCTCAAGCCTCAGGATCACAAGCGGTGGCAGTCTCAGGCGAAGCGCCCCGCCCGCCCTGCTGGCACGCCCGCGGGTGCGACGGGGAGGAGTTGCCCACGAGGAGGCCGGATGGAGGAGGACGGGGAGGAGCAGGAGGAGGGAGGGGGGACGGGGGGGGGAGGAGGCACGCAGCAGCCAGTCCAGCACTACAGCATTACCCTGGCAGCCAGGCCCTGGAGGACTTGTGAGGGGGAGGAGAATGGGGCAGGGGGAGGAGGCGAGTGTAAAAGGAAGGGGACAGGAGACGTGCAAGGTGACTGTGGAGAGGAAGGGGGGAGACTCGTCCTGGCACTTCTGCGTATGAGCTTCTCCACCTTCCTCTTCATCATGCTGCCGCTGCCCCCCTGGCTCCAGTCTGAGCCGCGTGTTACATGACGTTTTCGCTTGCACGTTGTATGCTTTATTCATTTTTTGCTGAGCCATCGCAGTGCGCAGTGCAACGTTCCCCAATAAGCCCAAACTGGCCCGCGCACCATGGCCGTAGAAGCAGGTGCTCAGATCGCGAGTGCGGGCCCGGACGTTCACAGCTGGACGCACAAGTACTGTCTCGTTCTGCAAGTTGAGCAGGAGAAGGCATGCACGACGTC